ACACACACACACACACAGAGCACAGATTTTCAGAGATCCACCCATGAACTGAACTCAGGGTTAAGAAGTGCTGATGTAAAAAATTGACGTGAAGGACTGTGAAGAATAACAATCATTCAAACTATCCAATCGGCAGTTAAAACCCTAAGGTCTACAATCTACTTGACATATATGGGGTACCATGAGCCACAGTCTACTACAATCTAACATTCTAGACTTGAAAGAATGTAATGTAATCCTTGTTTTCCCAATATTGAGATGTATTCCAAACTGAAGACTATAGTCCTTGATCTTCTGCAGCAAGCAAGGTTGTTTCATCTCCAGAACACAGGTTTTTGGTGTCCTCAATGTGATGCCATATCCTTCTTCATAGAGTCCAGCTTCCTGAATGATTTACTCAGCATATTGACTGAATAGTTATGGAGAAAGGACACAACCATGATGCACACTTTTCCTAACTTTAAACTATTGCAGTATTTTCTTGTTCTCATCAGACAACAGCTTCTTGATTTAGGTATAGATTTCATATGAGCATAATTGCTCTGGGATTACCACTCTCCTCAATGTTCGCTATAATTTGTTATGATCCACATTGTCAAATGCCTTTTAATAGTTAATAAAACACAAACAGACTTTCTTCTGGTAGTCTTTGCTTTCAGCCAGGATCCATCTGACATGAGTAATGTTGATTATCCCTGGTGCCATGGCCTCTTCTAAACTCCACTTGAACTTCTGTCTGTTCTCTGTCAATGTACTTTTCTAGCTGTTTTTAGATGATCTTCAGCAATATTTTGCTTGCATGTGACACTAATGACTATTGTTAGATACTTTTCACATTCTGTTGACACACGTGGGAATGGGAACAAATAATGGACCTCTTCCATTCAGTAGGCCAGGCAACTATCCTCCAAATTTCCTGGCATAGACTGGTGAGCACATCCAGGGTTGCTAACTGTTAGTGGAAACATGTTAATTGGTATCCCATAGATTTTTGAGGACATTTACCCCCCCCCAATGCCTTCAGTGTAGCTTCAACTTCTTCCTTTATTACCATTGGTTCTTGCTCATTTGATATTTCCTGAAATTCTTCATTGTTGACCAATTCTTGCTTGTTAGAGTGACTATGTGCTTTACTTCTGTCTTTTTTTATTTTTAATGTTTCCTGGATCATTCTAGATTTTGCCCATAGCATCTCTCAGTATTACAACTCAAGGCTTGAATTTGTTTTTTAATTCTTCCAGCTTGAGAAATGTCAAGCAAGTTCTTTCCTTTTTGTTCTCCTACTCCAGCCCTTTGCACATTTCATTATACTATTTAGCTTTGTCTTCTTGAGCTACCCTTTGAAATCTTGGGTTCCACTTTAACTTTGTTCTGGATTCTTGATGTTCAAATGCACCTTTCATAGCTTCTTCTTACATCCATTTTTATTTTTTCTTTCTCCTCTTTCTTTGTAATGGCCTTTTGCTCTCTTCATTGATGATCCTTGATGTCATCCCATTACTCCTCTTGCCTTCCAGCACTTGTGTTCAATGCCTCCAACCTGCTCTTAAGATGATTTTTTAATTGAGGTGGGATAGACTCAAAGTAATATTTTGGTTCTTGTGAACTCATTTTCATTTTCTTCAATTACAATTTGAACCTGCACATGAGTAATTGATAGTCCATTTCACCTGACCTGGTTTTGACCACTAATAAGGAATTTCTCCAATTATTCTTCCCACAGATGTAGTCAATCTGATTTCTGTGCAGCCTATCAAGTGTGGTCCATGTGTGAAATATTATTTTTAAAAAGGTATTTCCTGTAAATAAATCATTGAACATACAAAATTCAATCATTCAGCCTCATTTCTGTCACAAAGTTCATACTTTTGGACGACCATTCATTCCTCAGTACCTTTACCTGTTCCCTCACAGAGATGTGACACATTTCTCATCTCGAAATTTAAAAATAGATACGTCACATATTAGACTTCATTTTTGCCCCTGATGGTTTTCTGAGGCAGCTGCTCAAGAGGTCTATTTTTCCCCAAAGGAATATGTTCTATCTGTACTGTTTCTCTTTTAGAGATATATCATTTAGTCTATATTATACTAAAAAATCTCCTAACAATATGTCCTATGTATGTGAGATGAAGCTTTATGATTTTTGCCTCCAAGGACCAGTCTGACTACATTTTCTCCAAGACATATCGTTTGTTCTTTTGATAGTCCATGGGATATTCACTACTTTTCTCCAATACCACAGCTCATAGGCATCAGTTCTTCTCCTGTCATCCTTACTCATTGTCCAGCTCTCAAATACATAGCAAGTGATTAAAATGACCATGGCCAGAATCAGGCACATACTGGTCTTTGGATATTGTTAAGGAAGGAATATTGTTAGGAAAGACTTTCCTTGGGAAAGGACATCATGTTTAGAAAGGTGGAGAGAGTCAATGAAAGATGGAAGACCAGCAACAAGATGGATTGAAACTATGACTGCTTCAAAGGGCTCAAATATGTCAGAAATGAGAATGACACAAAACAGAAGAGGGTTTGGATCTGTTGTTCATAGGGTTGCCATGAGTCATAGTCAACTCCATGGCACTTAACAACATTAATTTGGAAAAAAAATGATGCTCTTAAATGATGTCTGAAATGACAGTAAGTCAGTGAAATAACTGTGACAATAATCCTTTCTTCTTCCAGTTTCTCGTGTCACCACAAGCACTTATTCTGTGAGAAGCCTCCATTTCTTAGTTCTTCATACTTACTAGTAATAAGTTTGTACAGGCAAAAGTGTTTACTTAAGGCTTAGATTACAACATTACTCATATCAGAAAAAGTAATGTGTAGTTCAAATTGTCCAAATACTAATTTTAAATGATTTATAGTCTTGTAGCCTGGTAATTTCTCAAGAAACATTAAATGTAATTCTAGTAAACGATCTTCTGCTGTATCTAACTATTCCAGAAATGAGCATGTGGCCGATCAGGACATACTCAGAGCCAGTTACCTGCTTGTATAAGTCGGCTGGTGGGATTTTGATGCTGTGTTCTATGTAAGACTCACTGTTCTCTATTTTGATGTTTTAGAATATTCAGCAATTTTGTCTTCTTTATGCCAAGGTGCTGCCAGAGTGCTCCTTGGAGGCAGAAAATATAAAGCTTTGTCTACCATACTTTGGAAATGTTGCTAGGAGGGGGCTATTCCTTGGAGAAGGGACATGGTGCTTGGAAAGATGGAGGGACAGAAAAGGCGAGAAAGATCCTCAACCAAATGGATTGTCACAGTCACTTAGGCAACAGACTCAAGTGTGTCAGAGATTGTGAGGATGTGCAGGTTAGACAGGGTTCGAATCTGCTCTTCTCAGGGTTGTAAGGAGTCATACTCAGCTCTATGACACCAAACAACAACTCTGCAAAAATCAGCCTCCATTTTTCTGGTAACACTAATGTACGTATCAATTACAAGTTTAATATTGATTCTTTTTTGTTGTATGCTGTGTGTATTCCCAAATAAACATAATTTAGAACTGCCACAAACCTCCCTCAAACTTTACAAAAACTTCACAAAGCAGCAGCAGTGTGTGTGTGTGTGTGTATGCCGAGTGCTCATTTTCTGCCATTTGCCTTATTCCTTACTGTCAGAGCTTGAGTCTGCATTTGCAGACCAAAGGGGAAAA